GAGAAAAGGTGGCGGAACTCAAACCTGGCCACGCCCTCATCAAACCCTAGGACCGCCCCTTTAGAGAACAGGAATGCAAGTAAAATTTGGGAGGGGCTATTTCCGGTGTGGGAGGGGCTATTTCCGGTGCGGCCGGCCCGGAAAAAGGTGCCGGAACGCGGTTCCGCCGCGTTCCGGCTGAAAAAAAGCCCTGGCTACACCTTCCCCTTCACCTCTAGCCAGAAAAAACATGGTTTTTCTACAGGTTTTATTCCAATATTGCACTTCATTTCTATTCTCACACAATTTCTGCCCCACTCCACAGCCTTCTTATTTCAGAACAGGAGTCAATGGTGTTTCCTGTAGGCATACAAAGTAAAGATACAATAGGGGCATTTAAAAGCATTATGCACCTACTTTTTCTAAGGAAAGTTCAAGGAGAATTATTAATTTCTTGAGTTCTCACCATAGTCATGGTATTGTACTTATGATCAGCCTAAGTCAAATAATCTTATAGCTAATTTTCTTTAAAGGAGATATGCGCTTTTTTCCTCATGGGGGGGGGGAGAGAAAGCTAAAAATAAAGACAATGTTATAAAATTAAGGACAAACATAGTCTAGGGAAACATGCAATCACCCATTCAAATCTCTTTTGTGAGGGTTATACAATTAGAATGGTTTACTTTAAAAATATTATATTGTCAATACTCACTTGTCCAGTCTTCTTCCAAACAATATAGGAAGTGAAATCCAACCATAATTAGAGCATGCAGAGAAATTAGTGCTATATACATCTGAAATAGAATTTGGAATGTTAAGAAAGAGATTTAAAAATTGAATAAGAATGTGTAAAGATTATATGTACAAAATATAGCACAGATTATTTTTTTTTATCATGCACATGAAGAACAATGGTTCTTTGCCCTAAAAATCTTGAAACAACATGGTCCCTAAATCAACTGACAGCAAACTCGTATCTTTTGAACTATTTATGTTTGAAGCACAAGATATACAGTATGTACAGGAACAATCTTCCATTCACTTTATAACTGTTGTTTTTTTTCTTTCTAAAGGGAAATTAGCACAAACTCTGGAAGGCTTATAAACTATTTAAGGACCTGGTAAGAAGTATGCCCAATACCCAAACTCAAGTTAGTCAGATTTTACATTTGGGAAGCAAAATAAAACTTTGTTCTCCATTTCATGCCCACAGTCTCTCAATGTTCTCTCTCTCCCTCTTCCTCTCCCTCTCTCTCTTTCCCTCTCTATCTCTCTCCCTCTCTCCCCTTTCTTCCCTCTCTCTCTCTGCCAAAAAGAAAACTCTCATTTTAAGTAGCATATTCGTGTTTTAATTTATATCATATTATTTAATTTATATCATATTATTTACTTTCATTTATTAAACAGGGAATTAGGCTACTTTGGTGATGGAATATGATACAATATTAAGCAAATGAAATGGCTAGAATTAGAGCTTATGATTTAAAATGCAGTAATACACTTTGAGAAACCATACATTGCTGGCTGACTATATTTTTTAAGTTGCTTCAAGCATCCTGCAGCTTAAAAGGGTAGCTACTTTTCTCACAAGTATCTCCTCTTAATTATTTCTGGAAGAAGTGTCAAAAAAATTGAGCAAGATCTACTTGAAGTTTCAGGGCCAATTTCAATAGTTACATAGACCAGTCACTCAGTGAATTACTTACTGTAAACAGTACAAAGTATTTCTGGTTGTTCTCTCCTACGCAATTATTAACCCATGGGCAGTGGTGATCCATTTTCCGTATACATCTCTTACAAACACTAAAAGGAAATAAAAACACCACAAATTAAAATACAATCCATCTACATTGAGAAACTGGTCTTCTATAGATATCAAACTGTGGAATAAATATTTTTATTTGTCAAAAACTACAATGCCTTCTACGTTACTTTTTTTTGAGAACATAATTTTAGATTCACACTGTCATTCAAAGTGGAAGTAAATGTTAGATTTGAAGCATTATGAATAAGTGGCAAACGCTGCTGCAAATCTCTAATTGATTTAGAGGCTCCAGTTTTTATTTCAGTTTTAGTTATTTCAGTTATTTTAGTTCAGTCTTTAGTTATTAAATGTAACTTAAATGGTAGGAACGAGGGTGTGTATGAGAATTTTCAGCATTTTTGAAGTACAATTCACAATAAACTCCATCCAATTAATCGATTGACTTTTTTTCACTGATTATATGCATTCAGCTTGGTATCCTGTGTACTGGTGCTATGGAGTGCATTTTAACTCTATTTCGGCTTCTGTATGAGCTTGCGTATCACTCGGGATCAAAAACTCTATGCTACCTTTCCTTTCATACTTTAAATACCTATCAGAGCAAGGGGGGGAGGTGTTACACTAACTTCTGCATGTTTTTATCACTCGGGTGTTGATTCCTCGCCATACAGACCTTTTTTTATAACTTTTGAGAACAGATGCTTTATGATTTGACACAAGGGACAATCCGCTAATATGGTATACAGCTGTCATCTAAGATCAGATGTAGGTGGGAAACGATTTATAATTGTATAAAACCTGGCCAGTCACCATTATACAATTCTGGCTTCTGGTCAGAAAAAATGTTTTTTGAAGACAACATTGTGTATGTGACGTGAGATAAGTATAATAAACTCACTACTAAAATAATCCATAGATCATTTTAAAGCCTTCATGCATAACCCATGCTGTCTTCCAGAGGAAACAGATAAATATATGGATAAAAGCAGGAGGATGTACGTAGTCTGAGATTGTAGAGGACACATTTCCACCAATGTATCATGTGGAAGAGCCCACCTGATGGGACTGGTTTGTACATCATAGAACAATGGAAAAAGATCTCTTGAGGTGTTCATATGTGTTTGTGATTCTCCTTCTGATACACACACACACACACACACACACACACACACACATGGGCAGTGATTTTTCAGATGTGTGGATCTGCCAGTGGAAAACAATTCTAAACTACCACATAACCCAAATGTGAATAAATTAATATATTACATATTAATGTAACCTGCTTTTTTAAGCAGAAAATTTTGAAGATGTTACAAAATTCAGTTCTAAATTATACTGAGTTTTGCAACACAACTAAAATAAATCAAAATGTAACAATGTGCTAAAATCATACTAACAGATGATGAATGAAAGAGTTACATGCTAGATTACTGTTGATGCCTATTAAATTACAATAGTAACATAAATAGACCATGATGATGATGTATTATAATTACCTGCAGTGATGTGCTCTGTCCGGTTTGATACTACAGCATTTTGGACACTTATAAACTACTTGTCCTGGTTTCAACTGTAAGCTCTCTATGAATTCTTTTGTGGCATTACCTTTGGGCACTGCACCCTAAAAGTGAAAATAAAGAGTGCCAGAACACTGGATCACAATCAGAAAACTCAGGGGCCCTTATTTTAGACACTGATGAATTTAGGAACGCTTAATGACAATGCATATAGTACAAAGGTATAGCCCTTTGAATCTGAAGCTAAAATGTGCAAATGACATCATAGTTTAGGAACATGTGGCTTAGTGATAGTAATTCTGGTCCCAATTGCTGTACTAATGAGGACTACCTATACATGCAAGCCATTCCATGCCTAGAGTGCTAGCCAGAAATATGTGTTTAGTATAGATACACAAATATGAATCAGATCTGTTTTGTTTCAAATGTAGACCACAATACAGTTATTTTGGGTTAAAGAATTTGGGGAGAGAAAAGCAAGAAAAAAATTGATTGAAGCTTTCCCTGACAACAATAGAAGAGGCTGAGGGAATAAAGGGAAGGCCCTCAGAGATTACAGGAGAGGTGGACATTCTGCAAGAACAGCAGTGAGAAACAGGTGCACAGCTATGGTGGTCCCAGGTATCCCTGAGAAGTGGGTGGGGGTGATATGTATCAGCTTCGTCTTAAGGAAACAATAGTATCACTTTGCCATTCTTGCTTGCATAAAATTCAGAACAAAAATGTTCCTGGGAACTATAGCCAATCTAGAACAGTTCAGAAGAACTTTTCAACTTGGGTTCAAAAGGCACTTTGTGGCCACATCTAAAACCAATCAACCAAATTTCATGAAATAAAAAGAGAATCTGATGTATTTTTTAAAAATGCAAAAGTTGTATGTATTTACAGAATACAATACCACCTGAAGCATGCTATGCTGTATGAGGAAAGGGGACATAGAGGTTTCAATACCATTCACATATGGCAGATAAGACAAGCAAACAGAAGTTGATATGATAGGATTATAATCTAAATATCAACTTTATGAAAAGCTTTCTTGCTATAGAAGCCCATATGCAACATAATCAACCACATTAAGTAAAGCACGATGTTTTCTACCTTGTTAATATGGAAATATTATAAGGAGTTTATAATGCATAATTTTTTAAAAATGTCATTTATGATTGTTTAACTTTCAGTAAACATTGGTAGTCCAGAAACCATCCTCATACTAACATAAGAGGTTCAGATGAATAATATACAGTCCTCATGAGGTAAAGCAAACTCCTATAAATATTTGAAATATTTAGTTTGAAGCAGAAAACAACTTTCATATTCAATTAAAGGAAAATCACCAGAAAACAGATAACTGCTACAAGGGACAAATATATGTATGCTTTCAAGCATTTTTTTCTGCAAAAATTCTTAGAGAATTCAGGTGAAAAGGAAAGAATGTGCATATTGGAGTTAGAGGCCCAGTTTCTATTATAAGTCAGCACTGTGCAGGTGAACTCATTGCAGCTGATTTCAGCTTTTGATTCACACAATGAACTCATGTTCAACTGATGTTTCCAATAAATTTTAGTGGTCTCCTTAGCATAGGGGAATTATAGCAAACATATCTGGAGAACAATAGGTACCTACCCTGTTTTTAGGACTTGTGGAAAATCTAATCATACCAAATATGATTTTTGTAATAGTACAAATCTCATTAAAATCTATTTGAGACCTATGAAGCTGTGGGGTCCTTGGTTCTCTCTGAGCTTGATGTAAACACTGATGATGTTACTTAGTTTGGTAATGAAATCTGCAAGAAAACCACCAAGTTCAGAGAGTATCAAGGACCCAACAGTTCAACCTGAGCTACATTCTCTTCTATCTGTAGTTATGAAGCTTTTCAAGTAGCACTCCAACAACCAATTGAGATACTTCATTCTTTTCCATAAGAGCTGCTTTGTGCAGGTGCAAGAATGAATTAACATACTGTAACAAATTTCATTTAGCTTCATTTGCCTAACTATGGCAACACATCTTCCAGCTTCATGTCACTTTAATTTGGCTGTAACTAACCTCAATATACTTTTTATGAAAGTTTAAACACACACATATAATTATAAGAGATTGCACTACCTAAGAAAAACTGAGATCTTTATTAGAAAATATATGGGAGATTTAACACCAATGGTGAAATGAAAAATCTCATGCATTAATATTTCTTTTTGTGTTCAACTAATGTCAGATATACAGCATTTTGTAGTAGAAAAGACAAAAGTTTCTATCCACATATAGGCATATAAATACAGGTAGTCCTTATTCATTGACTGTTCAAAGTTATGACAGCAGTTAATGAATGAATATGGCTGTTGCAGTATCCCTATGATCACATGATTATAATTTGGGCACTAGAAAATTGGTGTGCAATTTTGATAGTCAAAGCATTCTGCATTGTGTGATAACCATTTATGACCTTCACTTCAAAGAAGCAAAGTCATTGGGGAAACCAGCAGGAGGTCTCAAATGGCAAGCATGCCACCACAGGACACTTCTACCATGTGGAATTTGCCTAAAATTGCTGCAACTATCACTGTAAGTCACATGCATCAACTTTATGACTGCACATAACAACTAACAACTAAAAGTGCTGCAACTGTCACTATAAGTCACATGACATCAATTTTATGACTGCACTGCTTAGCAACAGAATTGCTGGTCTCAATTCCCATCATTAATGGGAACTGAAATACCTGAAGCATCTTTTGACAACCCCTTAAACTAGCATATCTTTTCCTGTGGTCACAAAACAGCTGCAGAGATCAGCATACAAATCCTGTGAAAAGACGCAAGTGCTTTAAAAAAAACTTCCAACAGTTGATATAGGAGCACTCCTAAGCACCACCACTTTGAATCTTCAGTTATACAGTTAAGTGCCTAGAAGTATTTAAAAAAGGAAAGTACTCTCAGTGGATTAATTCATTTTCAATTTCATCTCTATTAGAGACTAGGATGTTCAAACCATCAAACAGCATTATTCAAGGGATAATACAATTTGCTGTAAACATGAAATTCAAAACTGATTTAAAAACTCAATTCAGCTTTCTGTTTTTAATAAGGATCATATCCACCCTGTAAGGAACTCAATGTCTATTACTTTTTAAATTCAGTTAATGTTTTAAAATACATTTTGATAAAATTCGGCCATTGTTTGATATGTGCATCTTGTTCCTATCATCCCCAGCCAATACAAGTTTCTCTGCTGGCAGAGACTAATGGAAATTGTGTTTGGAGGTAATTATAGATGTATAACTATTATTCTATATTCAAGATGAAAAAGTATTGTTTTATTCAAAATACAATATAGTTGTTTAAAAAGACAAACATATAAACAGGTTTTCCCAGCTTTTCATGCCATAGCATGCTCTCAATATTAAATGTATTGGAGCAGATAAGAAAAAAGACTCCTACACAGATCTTCATCTATGTATTTTCCTCTTTTTTCCCAAAAGGAAAAAAAATTCCATCCTGTACTGTTTGAGGATCCTAGCATTTCTTATGTAATATTCCACCATACATATTTAAAGTAATGATTAAAGGCAAAATATTAAAGATTCATTTTTAAGAAATGATACTATTTAATCAAGAGTTTATATTCTCTATGCATTCTAGAATTTTTGGGTACAAAACAAACAAGAGAAAAGGCAACTGAGTCACATATTCCTAACTTTATGAAGCTGGAACGGTCATTTAAATTACTGAATCTAAATCCCAAATACCTGGAGGAATCCAAATTAAGGCATTCCTGACCGATGGCTATTCAGCCCTTCTTAAATATATTCACAAGAAGAAAGTTACCTCATTAAGCGCTGCTTTTATATTAATTTTTTTAACATTGCATTTAAATCTCTTTTCCTATAACAAAAGCATAATTTCGCTACTTTCAGCATGGAATGAAGACAACTACACTCATCTTCTGTTTAGATTTTAGAATTTAAACTGTATTGCCATATCCCTTCTTAAGGTTTCTCTTCTAAGCATTCTTACATTCCTTAATCCACGCAACTGCAGCTTTTGTGAACATCCTTGCTACTCTTTTCTGAGCCTTTACATTAGTTTGAAACCTTCTTAAAGTAACACACTTACTGGATTTGTTATCATTGCTCTCAAATGTGAAGCCAGAGCCAGGAATGCCAAAGTATTGAAAACTATTCCATTGATCACACTATAAATATAGTCTCTTGATGGAAGTAGCATTACGAGGATGACTACAAAGTCAGCATAAAATACCAGGAGCCAGGTGATAACTGCACAGGCAATACCACAACCATCTCGAATAAACCACATTGTTTCTGAGGAACTGTGGCTGGGAGGTGGGACACACTGGTCCGGTTGAAGATATTCTGGTTTCCTCTCAATATCTCTGAAGCGATGAACTGGAGTAATCATCATAGATTATAATGTCCATTCTTGGATCTGGAAAAGAAAAGAAAAGTTCTAAACTGAATAAAGCATCTAAAATATTGTCCAGATGGCAGTTTCTCTTAACTTGGTTCTTCATTGCAGTGATAAATCAGGAGAAGAAAACTATGTGTCCATCAACATGTGCAGTAATTGCAGTTATGAACACCATAATAGCACATCCAAATTTCAGGTTCCTGATCTACTGCTTGGATTCATAAATGCATTCTTTTTTATAAAGTAAAGTTTGTGAACATTAGAAAAGCTTAATTAGAATATAAAAAATATCTACTGTCTCTAAACATTTCACACTCTATCTTCTATTATTTAAATCCATAAAAGTACTCACCCGCTCAGGCTTTTTTAATAACCTACAAAATTCCATTCGTCTTCCAACAGCTAACTCATTTTATGTTTAAATAACCATGCCTTTCCCTTTCTGTAGTACCCAACTTCCTTGCAGGGAATTCTATATAATTACATCTTGCCACTATATTAGTATTCAAATATTTCATTTTTCCTTTAAGAAACCTAAATCTGCAGCATATACAGTCGTCCCTCCTATTTTATCATATAATGTGTGAGTTTCAAGGGATCTTATAAATCATCTGGTATAATAAAGAATACAGGAAGGGAACCTATCAGGTAGTGTGACTACAGTCAATAGGTATAGATTAAGTCTTCTGTAGGTTGTTTCCTGATCTGGTTTATATTGAAGTGCCAAAAACTATTATATCCCTCTCTTATATTCTCTTGAAATATATCTAACTTCTTTAAAAATTCATCAAAAAGCATGCTTCTTGATCTCTTATTATCCTTTTATCTATTCTCCTGAATCTGGTGCAATGTCTTCAGGTCTCTTTTAATGTGTGATGTCTAGAATGGAAATAAACATGGTATTTAAATACCATTTAATTAGTACAAACTTCAATAAAATTATTACTTCCCAAAATCTAGACATAATACTTCTGTTAACCTACACTGGCCTACTTGACCATGTTGCTTGTTCATATGCAGCTAATGGTCTACTTGTACTCTTCACTTTCTCTACAGAGGCGGTGTTTGCTGTCTGTTCCTGTCTTCTCATTTCTTGTTTTGTATGCATTTGTTCTTAAGATTTGGTCATGTGCAGCCATAATTAGCCCCTCTATTTCTTTCTTCAAATTTCTCACTCTTAACCATTGCCAGGGCCTGAGGATTGGGATGACTGTTTATTCTTGATACATATTTTGAATTTATGATAAAAATTGAATTTATTTATTTCTATACTGAAAGCATAAAAGAGCATTCCAAATTATCAAAAGCTTTTTCTGTTTCAACAACCATCATTGGCACCCTCAAAATGTTTCTGATATTTTTGTATATCCTGTCCAATACTATTATTTAAACTTTCTGCCAGGATGGCTATAAAAAATATCATTAATATTCATTAAGATATAAATCTTTATGACCCTGGCAGGATGAATTATTTTCTTCTTTATAAATCAGAGATATAAACACCTCTTGCCATGATGGAGGTAATAGATACTGTTGTATTTCACTAATTACCTGAAATATTTATTAAGATATTTTTGAAAGTCTTAGACCAGCGTTCCCCAACCTTTCTGACTTTTTAGACTGGCCGGGAGAAGGGGCTAGTTCCACACAAGCAATGGGCAAATACGCGTGTAGCTCCATTTGCACAAGCAGCCAGCACCTGCCACTCATGCAAATAGAGTGCACGCGCATGCACTTACCTGCTGCTCGTGCAAATGGGGATGCGCTTATGCTCACCCGCCACTTCTGTGGCCCGGTTCCAAATGGGTCAAGGCTCGGTTGTGGGCTGCAACCTGAGGGTTGGGGATCTCTGTCTTACATAATGCAGATAAAAGTTCATTTGGTCCTGGAGTTTTACTCAGTTTTAACTTTATTGTCTCCTTTGTCTCCTCCTTTATAATTGGCTTATGAAGTGCAAGCTTTTGCTGATTATGTTTTGTGTCCTAGCAGTTTACATTTTATCTTTTCCAAATTGATGCCTGCCTTCCATATAATAGAACTACTTAAGAAATGAATTTACCATTGACAGGCCAAGAGAATGATTTAGAAAAGGATCTACCAAAGATGAAGCTTTAAAATTTAAAAAGATAATACAAATTTAAAAGGGTGTTGAATTAGAAGCCCTCCAAGGTCCCTTCTAAATCTGTTATTCTATTAAATGACAAACCCAGAGAGTGACCTAGATAATTTTTTCCTACTTGATTTTCAAATGAAGCTTATTAAAGTTTTGAAGAACTATGCGCAATAGGGCAAAGAAGAAATGAGAAATTAAATCCTGTAAACTAAAGATTATGATTGCTAGAAGTAAAAGGAAGGAATACAAAGGTGGTTAAATGTTAAAAGAAGATATGTTAATTCTGGCAAACCTTTACACATTCTGCTGACACCAGGACTGAAAAATGTTTTACAGATTTGTCTATATAAAACAGGACACATATGGGATGAAGTCTGTGATGAAGACAAATGTTTGTAATCTTGAAGAGGATGAAGAATCACTAAAAAAATTTATATTTGTGATGCTGATTGTAAGTAACTTTTTTATATATTTATCTTCTCTTTCTTTAATATATTCCCACTTTTCTCTTTTTTCCTTTTTAAACATTTTTACTGTTTCTGTTTGCTTTTTTCTTTAAATGTAATTTGTACAGGTAATCCTCAAGTTATGAATGTAATGGAGCCTGCCAATTACATTCATAACCAGGGGATTCATAGGAGTGAATCATGTAACTTGAACGTGATCACTCCCTGCTTTCGCCCATGCATTTGCTAATTGAATGTGTGGGTCTTTAAGTGCACGAGGTATCTCACGGTGGGGAAGGCCATGGGGGACCTAGTGCTTCCAACTACCCAAGGCCTCTCCTGACCCACTATCTCATGTTTCCCACTCCCCCCTATCCTGCCCGATTGGATCACTTACCTTATGTAGATCTTGATGATCAAGGGAGCTATCTCCTCTCCAGCCTCTCTGCTATGTGTTCATGTTGAGCAGAGGCTTGCCGAGGCGTGCAGGGACGAGATTGCATATCCCTATAGGCTCCGGTCGTCTTTGTAAAAAGCCTTTGTTGCTGAGAATGGAGGCTGGAAGGGACACATGCACCTCTTCCGGGTTCCATTCTCAGTAGCAAAGGCTTTTTGCAAAGATGGCAAAAGGCTTTGCAAATGGAGGGAAGGCTTCAGTGCTTCAGGCCTTCCCTCTGTTTGCAAAGCCTTTTACTGCGGATCTCGTCCAGGCCCGTGAGGTCACACGAATTCAGTAGTTCAAGATCTCACGCTACTGATCTCATGTGATCTTGTGGTACTTTAGGCCTCCATTCTCTGCGAACGCACCAAAGACCTAAAGCACTGAAGCAGGCCAATAAACCAAAGGCTCGCTAGATCTTTGCAAGGTATCTACAGGCCCAATGCCTGTGGAGACCTGGCCGGTGGTGGGAATAGGCAGGGCAAATGTTGCAGTGTCTGCCATGGTGAACGACTGCCATGGTGCTGCAACATTCATAACCTTGGGACTGTGCCATAAGTACTTGGGGGGGAGTTATGTCTTAACTTCAAATGGTCGCTAAATGTACTGCCGTAACTCGAGGATTACCTGTATTAAGTTTACTATTATGATAAAAAATGTAATTTAATAACAGGTACATTAAATTAAAATGTGTGTGTTTGTATGTGTGTGTGTGTACATACATACACACACAGACACGTATATAAAATCATTTTGCAATTGAATTTAACCCTCTCAGGATCTTTTACATTCCATTCTGTGTCATTTATAAAAATGTAAACTAGTACTTGGTCAATGATATATTCGATGATCAATGCTGCAACATTCATAACCTTGGAACTGTGCCGTAAGTACTTGGGGGAGGTGTTATGTCTTAACTTTGAATGGTCACTAAATGTACTGCTGTAACTCGAGGATTACCTGTATTAAGTTTACTATTATGATAAAAAATATAATTTAATAACAGGTACATTAAATTAAAATGTGTGTATACATACATACACGCGCGCACGCGCACACACACACACACGTATATAAAATCATTTTGCAATTTAATTTAACCTTCTCAGGATCTTTTACATTCCATTCTCTGTGTTATTTATAAAAATATAAACTAGTACTTGGTCAATGATAGATTCTAGAGAGACCTGATTTGATTCTTCTTTACATAATGCAATAAGAGCACCTTTGTGTACATTTGTTCAATTACTTGCAAACCCCTGAACTGCAGCATCATGTAAGGCTCGTGTGTTCATCATGGCCACTGTCTTGCCCCAAAGGGTAGAAACAGCCTTCAGAGAGAAGGACCCTGGCAGTTCATGGCAAGAACACTGGGATGCTCTCCACTATCCAGTTTGTTTATTTGTTTATCAAATTTTTGAAATTGCTCATCTCCCTCAGAGAGGAAGCCTGGGCAGTGTTACAAGTAAAAAACACTAAAACATAAACATATTAAATTTACTATTTAAAAAGGCAGATATACTAAAAAGTAATATTAAAGTTAATTAAAAGACAGGGACGGCTTTCAGGATGCTAAACAGTCCCACAGCTACTTGCTCTTCTGTGAGCCCCAAGCAAGGTCGCAGAGCCATGATTTTACTATTTCTGAAAGGCAAGGAGAATGGGGGCCTGACTCACCTATGGGGGAGAATGTTCCAAAGAGTGATGGCAATGGCAAAGAAGGTTCTCTTCCTAGATGCTGCCAATCGGAAATCTTTAGCTGATATGGTCTGCAACATACTTTCCCTGCTTGAATGTGTGGTTTGGACTGATGTAATGGGATGATTATGGTTCAGTAGGTCACCTTGGCTCTGCCATGTAGGGCTTTAAAGGTCATAACCAACATCTTGAATTGGACCCAGAAGCAAACTGGCACCCAATATAGCTCATTCAGTAAAGGTGATAGATGCACTGTTCTTTGGGTACTGAAGATTGCCCACACAGCCAAATTCTGTACCAACTAAAACTTCCAGAGACTTTT